CCTCTAAAAAACAAAACAAAAAACCAAACGCGTTTGTTTTCAAGGCCGCGAGTCGGGTGATCGGTTTGTATGAGAGAACCGATCCCCCAAAGGGCACTGGTTATTTGAATTCAGCAAACATTGCATTTAAAAATGAGTCTTAGCAGTAAAGAGACTAGTTATTTGAAGCTCAAAGTGGGTGACTGGCGGGTGCTCTCGTGTTGCTTGCTCCTTCTTTCTTTTCGGACATCTATTGCTCTCACCTGCACTCCTCTTTTTAATAAATAACTAAATAAATACATTTTACAAATAGTAAATAAATAAATAAATAGATGGATAAAAAGATAAATAAATAAATAAAAATAGATAGATAAATAAATGAATAAATAAATAAACTGGTTTTACGCTGTATTTTAATGCTGCCAGTATGCACAATAGAGCCATTGTACATGTATCAGTATAGTGAGAGACTATAGCTCGTCCAACTCAAAAATATAATTTTCTTAACAATGTTTGTATTTTACGTTTACACTTTAGATTTTAAATACTTCAAGCCTATCTGATTTGTCATTTTGAACATTTTTTTTAACGTTAGCCTAAAGATCTAGATTGAAGTCAAAGGGCACTTCTCCCCGGCACAGCTGGCTCTTTTCTGTGCGTCCCAGTTTGAAAATAAACATACCTACTTAGATCTACTGCAATGTCGTGGAACATATTTCACTGTACTCTGTACTTTATATTAATTTATGTTGTTAGGTTCAAACTAACAGGAATAATAACATTCTCGGTAGTGGGTTCAAACAAGTAAACTCGTTTTAACACGACATGATACATTGTAATAGGAAATTTCCAAACTATAATAAGAATATTGCGACCAACCAGGGTTCCAATATCCAAATAGATAAATATCTAGATCTGGAGCCTATAGAAAACCCCCCAGAAAAAACTCTCTCTTATTCTTGTTACATACATACATACATTACCACATGTAATATTATGATAATAATATGGATTATTTTGAGCTTTTCTGCTTTGTAAGTCATCTCAATACCGGAAATAACATACATTATTATCTAGCAAAATCAAAGAAAACAACAGTGCTTATTAATAATCGTGGAAAAACCATTAATTACTCACAGTTAGTTAAACGAAATAATATGAGATCATTGGTAAAGTATTGAAAGGAGTTTATGAACTCAAAATGTATCTATAAAAAATTGACGTTTTGAGTCGGACGTTTTATTTATGGATTTAGAAAAACACTAGATCTAGGTTCATCATTTTGCGTTTCAGCGGAAGTCAAGAATTTGAGTCAGCCGCGTGGTTGCTTAGGAAAACTTTTGACTTGTGGTGATACCTAACGACAAGTTGATATCCTGTGACTAAATTGATGTAGATTCTAGATCTAGATCTCGTTCTTTTTGGTAAGTCCTTTTAACTACAGGCTCACATTCGGAACGCTTCACTAGGCACTCAACTCCGTTTAAACGATATCAAGGTCTAGGAAAGAATACACAGCACTTCTTCATGTCATCCAAATCTCGATTAGGGGAGGACTGCTTTTTCTAACACTGACTAATGTCATCATATTATGTATAATATGCTTTCATATGTTAACATGTCACTAATAATACCCATTCCAGGTGAAGAGACAAAGGAAGGCAAGAGAACACTTAGATCTAGATCTAGATTCTAGTAACACAAAATGAAAATCAGTTAACTTTCTTTACTATCTTTTTGCCGAGTCAAATACTGCTAAACCCTATCTTTTACATAGCCCACTAGTCTAGATCTAGATCTAGATATTAGATCTAAGTCCCTTACTTTTTATTGCATAGGTTGAGGTGGTCGCTCGTTACGGAAGTCCTTCCTAGATTAGTCACCAGGCGTTTGATTTGTTAGTTTAGTTGAGATACTGATTTCTGGTTGCAGTATATTACTATTACGATTAGTAGGCTTATTGTATCCAAACCAGTCAAGATCTAGATCTAGATCTAGAATCTAGATCTTAATCTTTGCCTACAAATGAAGATGACCTCAGGCATAATGGGCATTGTATATATAATAGGCCCTTGATCTAGATTCTAGGTTTAGTTTTCTTTGGCTGACAAGTCGAAGGAGTTCGATCTAGATTTATGTGGAAAACGACAACAACAACAAAAAACAGCAAAGAAATCTATCTTGATCACGAATTGGTGTAAGTTGTAAAGTCATATCTAAATAAATACGCTTTTCAATTCATTGAGAGTGTACATAAGGGGCGGGGTGGGGGTGCAAAGGGGGTACGGATGGGGGTTGCAGTGTAGAGAGGGACGCATACATCCGTCTCATCTCCCATTTTGGTCAAGTCTACAGGCCTCCGTGTTTTTGCAGTTCATTTCTCTTACTCTCTTCACTTCACAGAGCACTCTTCTTTTCTGGCTCCCCAGCTTTTAATGGTATATGTGTATAATATTGATACTAAACTATGACCATAACATTGTTATTTCCTCATTGGTATAAAATGATTGATACTCGTGAACGTATTTTTCTGAATACAAATAAAAACCCTTAAAGTGCAGGTCAGAGGATTTTACCAGTCACCAGCAACCCACAAAGTTTGAGGGTCATAATATGTACTCAGGCATAGATAGATAGATAAATCAGAGGCGGCTCATGTGGCAGAAAAGTGGGCGTGCACAATTAAGCTATCATAGGCTGAAGATAGTCAAGGGCATTGTAAATGAGATGGTGTATAGTTTTAGGATCTTTGGGTTAGTGAGGGATGACCTCATGTTTGAATATCCTATTATATAAAATTAAAGCGCGTGGACTTTGGCACGGCATAGTAGATGTTTTATGGCGCTATATACACACACATGACAGGTACGACGTCAGGGAGGACCCAGTTTTGATATTTGGCTTGTGTTAGTTTCTGACTTCTTTTATTTAATTTTATTATAGTGGGTGCTTTACGTAATAGACCATTGCCAAATTCTGGGCGGCACTGCACAATCGGGCTTTATGGACAAACCGCGATTGAAAAAATAGATAGAGAGAGGAGAGAGATAGGAGGAAGACAGAGGTAGAGAGAGAGGAGGGGGGAGGGGCGAACAGATATACATACATACATACAGACAAACAGACTGACAGACAGAAATCATGAAAGATACCGTGTCCGTAAATAAAACTTGCAGCTGCTTCCAACGATACCGGACAAGAATGAAGACTCACCCCGGCGGAAGTTCAAGGTACAGTCATCAGACAACGCCACAGGTTGGAGCACTCTGCCCACCCCCACAAGTCAAGAAGAAGACGAGATTCAAAGTCAAGAAGAAAGTGAGGTTCAACTTAAAAGTGCAGATTTCTACATCGGAAGAATTGTGGCGTCCGTTCTACAGATGGAAATATATCAGCCCTGTCAGGGGTGAGTATGCTTTTCCCCTTTCTTTCTTTCTTTCTTTCTTTTTTTGGGAGGGGAGTATACACTGGTATGAGATTGCTATTATTTCAAGTGCGTCTTAAAAGCTGTATATTATGTGAAAAGGGTTCAGTTATTATGTAGCCCAAACCACGATGGAAATCGTACAAGGTAAAGCGTGTTTCTGATTTAATAATAATAATAATAATAGATAGATAGCATTCGTATAGCGCATAACCCGGCTCGAAAGCAAGCTCTATGCGCCTTACACTATATTATTACCCCAGCAGACCATAGAACACTCAGAAACATTCTCAGCTTCCCGGGAAGCATACAGTGCAAGCAGCTGATTAAGCGCTCAAACACTAACAAACTGACAAGATCTTTCACTGTCTATAGCTGGGTACCCATTCCCACCTGGGTGAAGTGAGGAAAACTCGGATCGTGTAAAGTGCCTTTCCCAAGGACACAACGTCAGGTCCCTGACAGGATTCAAACCCACGACCTTACGGTTGCGAGTCCGAGAGCCACAGACGCCACAAAGCTTTATACAGTGGCGGCCAAAAGAAACTTGGAAATGTAACCAACAAATCATTGTGTTAAAGCTTCGCATTACTTACTCATGCAGCATACCAATTTAAAGCTTAATAGATTCTGCCCCATCTGACACTTTGATAATCCATCTGTGTTAAGATATACTTATATGGCTACTCAAAATTGACCTTAAAAAATCAGGCTTAGCAAAATTGTGCGAAATCAGAGAAACGTTGTCTTCGCGCGTGTATTGAGGAGCATCAATATTGATAGAATGGACATACATTGCATATCTAATGAACGGAAAATGTTGTTTTTCAATAAACAATATTCTATTTTGTTATTTTGTCACCGTAGTTTCAAACAAAATGGAAAACAGAGCAATCACAAATACCATGCAAAACTTGGACTTAACATTCAATGTGTTCATTATTATTTTGCTTAGTAACCATTAGTTTCGACATCGGCTCTATTAAATTTTGAACATAATTATCTGTCATCTCATCCTAAGTGTCACAGACAGTTGCAAACAAAGGGTTTGAGTTGGGAGCAAAGTCGCGTTTTTTCAGCTGCTGTCACATGGTACTTCACTCTTCACATACTTGTAGGATTCATTTACATGTGCTATTTTTACTGGTGACCACTCCAATGTTGATTTAATTTTGGTTTTCCAAGAATTATCTAGTGGCATTGGCCCTGTGAGAAAGTTCTTTCCTCTGCATGGAGATGTCTACTTGAATGACACCATGACGAAAATAAAGGTAAGACATGACGTTCTAGCACTTGCGCGGTGTAGTCCACTAAACCAAGCCATCCGTTGATTCTCACGATTGGGATTTTGTTAATTTCACCCCTTTCCACCCCTTTCCACCCCTTTCCACCCCAAACTATGGCAGTTTCGTGGCCTCTGTTTCTCACTGACAAACGATTATTGTCCAGAATCTAACTAACACAGTTTATGTGCAAAAAAGGTTTCCTGCTCAACACAAAACTATTAGCCAAATACTAATGAGCACAATATATTATGTTAAATCCAGGTTTTGTATGGTATTTAAAACTGCTCTGTTCTCCAATCTGTTTGAAAATAATATGTATCTTCGGTAGATGCTGTTCTTTGCAGGGACAATAATATTCTCTTTTCATTTGATGTTCAATACATGTCCATATCACCAATGTTGATGCACTTATAATATAAGCGTGTACACACTTTTGCGTTTCTCTGATTTCGCACAATTTGCCAAGCCTGATTTTTTAAGGTCAGTTTTGAGTGACCATGTACCGGGCGTCTCTTAACGTAGATGAAATAATAATGTGTCAGATGATGCAGAGTTCATTCCCACTTGGCTCGGTCCTATCGGAGACGGACGTTAAACTAGGAGGTCCCGCCCCTTAAATAACCTAATAGTGTTGATAGGGGCGTTAAACCCATACCATTTTCTGAGTTCATTCAGATTAAAAATAATATACAGCATGAATGGGTAGTGCAAGCCTATAACACGATGATTGGGAAATAACATTTTCAAGTTTCTTTAGAACGACACTATATAGATGTTTTACACGCCCATGGACACAATTTAAACCAATTAGGAGGCGGGCTTCAACCCTGCTGTCAGAGCTAACCCAGGCTGAGAGGAATACAACAACGGTTACAACGTCCCAGGAGAAAGACCAAGATACTCTATAAAAATGCACCCCTCACGGGACGTAAAGTCACGTGGTCCTCTGCGAGGGCAACGGCCTACTAGTCCGAGCGCCAGATGAAAAAGCTTGTTTTGCGTCATAAAGTTTTTTTCTTTGGTGATTCTAACAGAGTTTTCATTTTTGATTTCAAATCTAATGGGGGCCAAATGCTAAACTTTGGGCATTTTTGTTTAAAAGTGAAAATCCAAGATGGCCGCCATAGAATTTCGAGTGAAAGATGTTGTGAGGGATATCATGCATTTAAAGACATAAAAATGTACAAACTTAATTAAATAGCAGTCAGCGTGACAAAAGTAACCACACTTGATGAAATACACATCAAATATTCGATAAAATGGCAGCTTCAAAAAGAAAAAAAGATGGCCGCCATATAGTTTTCATAAATATGCTGATCCGCAATACACTTGAAATCGTCGCATTAAAATCACGACCTCGCATGGATAAGTTCTGTCTCGTGGCAGAGGGCGACACACGCACACACACACACACACACACACACACACACACACACACACACACACACACACACACACACACACACACACACACATACGTACACACACACACACACGCACACACACACACACACACATATATATATATATATATATATATATATATATATATATATATATGTATATTTTTATATAGACTACAATATTACTTTAAAGTATTTCATCAAAGACGTGTGGATGCAGGCGCCTCATGGATCGGAGATAGTAAAGACAGTTGCAAGCATAGTTGACGTTCCAGACTCAAAGATGTAGGGGAACATCTTTTCCACAGCAAACAAATGAAGAGTCCAGTCAGCTTCTCTCTCAGCCCGAACAAAGGCCATCACAATGAACACTGGGTCAAGGAGCACTCAACCCAAAGTCTTGTGGTTTTGCTCTGGGTGCTTTTGGTGACCAGACATTGCGTGAGTGCAGCCATGGTGTGCACGTCAGTGTTGGGGAGAATGGGTTGCAGTAACTCCTCAACAAGAAGTCTCAATGCTTTTACATTTTGTGGGTATTTTTTCCGGGTCAACATTTTTGGCACCCCTATCAATGCTGAGCCAAGAATGTCTTCAATGCCACTTCCTCCCATCAGGTATCCCACAGCACTATCAAAACTCCTCAGCATGTGCATACCGCCAAGTCTTGGGATGAACTTCTGAAACTGTTCCTTGTCAACCCATGTGATGTGGACAAGTTCTTTGTACAGCTGGTAGTCACTGGTGAATATTGACCATCCCTGACCAGTGAGCTTCAACCATTGCTGTCTTCACGGTGTCTGGCTCAGATGGGATCATGTCCAGGAATGGGCTGTACACCGCATCTGTCTTTGGTTGGGGTTGTTGTTCTGCACTGCGGGTACGTTGTGTGTTATAACCTTCATACTCAGGTCTTGAATCTTCGCCGAGTGCTTGTTTAAAAAATGACAGATCTTGAGTTGCAGTTCTATTCAGAGAAACGTGTGGCAAGAAAGACCAGAGATGGGACATGTCGCAGGCTCAGTTCTTCCGACATAAGGGGTTTCATGTTTCCTGTGTACCGTTGAACTGCAACGTCACCAAGTGTCAGATTATCGGACTTGTTTCTGTTTTGTTGAGACGGCTGATGGCTGGAATATCTTGCATTTCCCACACCTGCTCTGACTAGCCGTGCGTTGATTTCTGGCCTTTTGGAGATGATATTTGCGTGTCAAAGTTGCCAGCTACAACTTGAACAAGTCCATGGTTACTGTCAAAGTAGGCCAGTCCTCGTGGAACAGATGCCATAGCAACAGTAGCTGAACACCGAAAGCGCCTTAGTTCGTCGTATGAGGTGGTGACTCCATACGTATGAAGCTCGTCTAGATTATAAATTTCCTCTGTCGACTCAACAGGACACTAAGTCCAAGTTGCAAGTTTGTGAAATAGCTGCTGACTGTAGAATCCAGTTTGGGGTCTGTGGCTGCAAGGAGCGATAGTAAAGTTGGGCTGCATTCATTCATGACAAATCCCCTAGGCAGACGAGGTGGGTATGTATGGCGATTGGGCTTTGGACATTCTGCTTTGATCACGCTAACCAAGCTTGAATTGGCTCGTCAATTGCAGTCTCCTCCATCATTTGCAACTCGCATCTAGACTGAAGCCGTACTCCTGAAGACGAGGATGAAAGCCACAACTGGTGAGACAGGATCAGTAATTCTGCTTCTCAGATACATGGTTCAGGAGTTAAGTCGCGATTTGTCTTCCCCCAAAGTTCAATATATAGCGTTCATGGACTTCCACACTATTCCACATTCGTGATTTGTTTCTTCGAATCTCGTCAATCAGCATACCGAAGATATTGTCATGCGTTGTAGGTGCGCTAGTTGATTGCGTTGGATAGTTTGTGTAGAACCAGGAGTGGCAGTCTCTCTGATACCTAGCGTCTGCTGCATGCAAATCACTGACTGTTGATGACACACGGAAGCTGACATCCGTTCCCCATTTGTCCCCACGTTCCTTGGCACGTTTTTTGTAGTTCTTCTTTGGTGATCTTCCTCCAACGATCTTGGTGTTTTTGGGAGTATCAGTGAGTATGCTTTTCCACACACAAAAAAACCAATGTTCGTGAAAATTAAACGAACTAGTACAGCCCATATGACGTTTGGGTTCTTCTTCAGAAAGTTCCTCAGTCTTTTGCTTTAGTAAAAATCACTTAATATGGTCTCTGGACCAATGTCAAAAATATATGTGCTCATATAGTTCTTGTGACTCAGTATAAACTCAGCATCTTCTGGAAGTCTCTGACTGAGTCCATCATCTCGTTGCCGGCTTGCTTCCAGTAGAACACTAATCCGTCCCGATTTGATCAGCGGTGGGTTCTTTATGGCATCAGTATGTGTTTAAAAGTAATTGAGTGAGACACTGTGTGTGTGCATGTGCATGTTGCATGAACCAGCCTGTTCGCATCACGTCCTCGTGGTGACGTAGCGTGGTCCTACATTCTTTGTTTTTACGGAGGTGTGGTGTGACGAAGCACGGTCCGCCAATGTCTCCTTGCTTTGCTAGCTGAGTCCATATTACAGCGGGCTGTGCTGTGCACCTTTCGGTGCATCCTGTGACATCAGGGCGAGAGGAGCTGGCCTGCCAGCGTTAGGCTTAGTACCCTCGCGCGAATCTTTGTCGACTCGTACATGGTAGATGTGGGCAAAATCCGGATAAACTATCCGGATAACCGGATAATTCTCAATGAAATATTATCTGAATTCAGACTTTAAACTCTCTCTCCTGACCTGTTTGCCGAAGTGAGTGTACCCATTTGTTGATGAAGAAATGCTCACCCGTTTATCTATGCTAAGAGATTTTGCCGAAACGGTCAATAACATATTATTCGCCGAAGAGGTGTACTAGCATATTATCCGGATTTCGGTAAAGCGACTCATTGCCCAGCCAGCCCTAGTCGCTCCTTCATCATTCTTACATGATACGGGTTGGTGTATTTCAACCAGCAGAAAAAATTATGCCCATAAGATACAAGTTGGCCCCCGACTGATATGAAGTCTAGAGACCCCGAGGAAACAGAATCACCAAAGAAAAAAACTTTATGATTAAAAACAAGGTTCTAGTACTTTATATTGACCCGGCTCTCGGACTATAACCTCTGCACCACACAAGCCGGTACCGCGTCTCAAAACTGTGAACTATTTCACCACCAAAACGTTTTTTTTTTGCCATCTCCTAGGAGCTGAATGTGGGTGGTTTTCGGGTGTTCCGGTGTGGTTTGGTCCTTCTATACTTCCGATCAAACATTTATTGTTCTAATGATTGTCTCCTCATTCTTTTCTTTGTATGTTACTCTCGAGTAACACCCTTAAGCTTCGACTCATACATGTATATTTTTATGATCTAATGGTATTGCAACTGCCGTAAAAGTCTCATTACTGAAACCAAACAGGAGCTGAAATGAAGAGTCTGAGCAGCACTGACGTCACAGAGCGCAGCCAGGCGCTGACCACCACGCAAAGCTTACCACTGTGTCCGAACATGTCCTCATGCCCTGCCCCCTTCCTGCGCCCCGCCCCCTCTCTTGTTCCCGCCCCCTCCCTGTGCCCTACCCCGTCCGAGCCCTTAACAAAATCTGCGTCTGCGTTTTGTGAGGCTGTCGTCTTCCGACCGATTCTGTTTCCGTCGCCGAGATGCCCGAGCTCCTTCCGCGTTGTCAACGTGCGGGGAAATGTGAGACGGCTCAGGGTGCTCAGCAAGACGTCGTTCCCGTGCGCTCGCAAACTGAGGAGCTGTCTAAAGAAACGACAGCCAAGCGCCTCTCGAGTCAACAACAAGATGTCACTGGCTGTTGTGACGACTCACGCCAATTCTGGCGCTAGCTCTGTTTCGAGCGCGAGCTCTTCGCTGTCCGTCCTCGCCAGCCCAAGATTTAGGGACAGTTGCCGTCTTTTCGTGAGGCCACAGGATAGTGTGTCCGGCTTTGAACATGCGCGACCAGTCACAAACGAACACAAACAAAGCGTTGATTACGAGCACGTCACTAGATCCCTGGGCAACCTCGCTATAACACCTGGGCGGGGAACGCCTGAGACAAACTCAAATGAACATCGGATGGCGAGAGCTGGTTCTGTTATGCAACAGCCTTCTGTGTCAACGTTCAGAAGCAGCGACGATACCAATTACAATGCAGTGCGCGAGGTATGTAGCGAAGGCATTAGCAGGAACGGGTCGGTTGAAGCTCGGTCTCTCAACTCCCACGACGGTATCGGCCGCAACAGTATCGGCCACAGCAACAGCGCCACCAACGGTATCGTCTGCCAAGGTATCGGCCACCACGGTACCGACGACAGTGATATCGACCATAACGGTATCGGACACTTCGGTACAGGGCATAGTTATACAGATCATAATGGTATCGGAAACGAGAGTAGCAGCCACTGCAGTATCGGTCACAACGGTAACGTCCACAATGGTACCCTTCAGGGTTACATCAACAATGGTATCGACCTCCACGGTATCGGCCACCAAAGTATCGATCACAACGACGACGCCAATAATAACGCCAACGAGCGATCCGCGCAGGTGAGCAAGTCGAACCCGGAGAGCCACAGGTCACGTCACGTGATGGAGCTCCGGTCTGGACGGCGCCACGCCTCGTGCAGTGAGAGCAGCGGGCGCGAACTGGTGAATGCTGGTGGTGGCTTCTGCTCCCAAGAAGTGATACTGGCTTCTTCGGGACCGGGATTTTCCAGTTTGCCAGCCGACGACAACAGAAATAATGTTGGTTCTTCCGAGGTCGGCCAAGATCATCGCCATTGTTACAACGTCGCGGCAAATTCTGACAGCGTTGGGAACTCTTCTGTTATTAACGGTCGTTGCCATGGTTACAACGTCGCGGCAAATTCTGACAGCCTTGGGAACTCTGATGTCAGTAATGGTCGTTGCAACAGTTACGTCGTCGCAGCGAATTCTGACAGCATTGACGATGTTGCGAATTTCGACGTTATCCAAGGTCGTCGCCATGGTTACAGCCACGCAGACAGCGCTGGCGTCACAGAAGGCCTGACTCACTCAGATCGTAGTTCCGGTTCTGCCCAGCCGCTCGACAACAAGAATTCGGGAGACCTAGTGGCCACTAGTGACAACAATGCTATTGTTTCTAATACTGGTGGATGCCAGGGTTCAAATGTCAACTCGTTCGCATCTTCACGAGACGAACCAGTTTTTGCTGCAAGAGAAAATAGCACTTCACCCCTCAGGCAAACGCAAACGTGGGTATTCAATAACAGAAATAGCATTGAAAGACAGAGCTCAGAAGGTTCGGTAAAAAATGATTCAAGGGCTACTGTAGAACAGTCCGCAAATGCTACGAACAATTCCGCGATGGATCCGGGGCCAAATGCTACGTCATTTCCATCACCAAAGCGCGGTCAGTTCCCGGACGCGTACTCCGAGTCTCTTATCTTGGTGTCCCCAAGCCGGCAGGTGGCGTCCTCCCCCTCACCCGTGCGCAAAGATGGCGACTCACTATACCAGTGCCCAGTCCTCAACTGTGCCATGACGTTCTCGGACCATCGGGGCTTGCGGCGTCACGTGACCCAGATGTACCACTCCCCCTGCAACCCCTTCAGCACCATCGTGGACGGCGTGGTGCCGGAGATTCTGGGCTTTCTGTGCCCGGCGTGCGGGCATATTTTTAAAGTAAAAACTAAGAGGAGAAAAGGATGTTTAGCCTAGATGAAACAAGACTTTAGATATTTACTGATAGTTCCCGTATGTGGGAAATAAGTTTTTATAGGGCAGCTGGGCAGAGATCTAGCGTCATGTGTCTCCCCTGTCATATATAGATAGATAAGTAGATACAGAGAGAGGGAGAGAAAAAGAGAGAGAGAGAGAGAGAGAGAGAGAGAGAGAGGGAGAGGGAGAGTGATAGAGAGATTGTGTGTGTGCGTGTGTGCGCACGCGTGTGAGTGTGTGCGTGTGCGTGTCTGTGCTTGTGCGTTGTGTGTGTTTGTGTGTGTGTGTGTGTGAGTGTGTATGTTGTATTTGTGAAAGAGAAGGGGGAGAGAGAGAGAGACAGACAGAGATAAAAAGAGACACATATTATACAGATAGAGAGACACACACATAAGATAAGATAAGATAATACTTTATTATCCCAGAGAGAAATTACAAACAGACAGAGAAGGACAGAGAGAGAGAGATTTATCTACAGCCCTCTACCACATTATAACGTCACTCAGTATTTTGTACCCCCACCCCTCAATCTCTCATCTCCCCCTCCCCCATGTCCTCCCTTCTCTCCCCCATCTCCTCCCTCCCCTCCCCCATCTTCCCCATCTCCTACCTCCCCATCTCCGCCCCCCTCCCTCAT